AACACAAGGCTGATATTAATGCTAGGGACAGATACTGGCAGACTCCCCTTCATGTGGCTGCCGCTAATAATGCTGTTCTCTGTGCCGATAACCTGATACCACTGTTACCTAACATCAATGTGACTGATCGTGGTGGGCGTACCAGTCTGCACCATGCAGCTTACAACGGTCACCACGAGGTAGTGGAATTTCAGGATTTTGTGAAGTAATGCATTTCATTTGTAAGAGGAGTGTTGCATTGTATTGTTAAAGAATTAGTCATTTGAATGCCCATGTTGCTTTATAGATGGCTGAGCTGCTTCTTACTCAGGGCTGTGTGGTGAACGCTTGCGACAAGAAGGACCGACGTGCTCTGCACTGGGCCGCGCATATGGGCTATGAAGATGTTGTGAGACTTCTGATCAACCACTCTGCTGACATGAATGTGAAGGACAGGGATGTGAGTACAGTTCTGTAATTACAGTACGTGATGGCCTTGGAAACGGTTTGTCGCACTTACACTGATTGTACTTGCCCAGGCAAAGCATTTGTCTTGTTTCTGAACAGTTTGAGATAGGAAGGAAGGTAGAAAAAATGGTCTTATTTCATGTTTTGTATTGCACGAAGATGAGATTAAAATGTTCAGAATCCTGTCTGTGGACTGCAAGTCAAGTGATCTGAGATTTGAGGTTTTTTCTGTGGTCTATGTCATTGTTGGTCATTCGGGTTGTCACACCATGTGGACTTGTAGGTAGATACGAACATTTCAGAGGAACAAAGTTTTTCGATCTTGAGGGCAAAAGCCCCTAATATTAAAGTATCTATCTATGGGTTCATAAATTGTAATTCAGAACATGATATTACAACTTTTAAAATAATAATGTGATTTTCATGAAGCTTTTGATACATGCTATTTGAGGCCAGTCTGGCTCCAGCCTTTTTAATTCTTTGCCATCAGCAGTACCAAAAGTGGGGATGTGTAGGTCTCTGTCTACAGGTTGAAATGGTAATTTAACTAAAGTTCGTGGAATCACGGAAATACAAATTTTGCAATTTCCAGGGGGGTTTGAAGACTGTTATTTTGGATGTAGGAGAATTTGTGTGACAGATGTAGAATGCCATCTAATATTACGTCCATGTATAAGGTTGTTGGATTGGAAGTGTTAATTCCTCTACAGCTGTATACACCCCTGCACGCTGCAGCTGCCAGTGGTAGCGTTAATGTGGCACAGATACTTCTGGAGAGCGGTGCAGAAGTGGATGCTCGAAACTCGTACGGTAATACCCCTCTCCACATAGCGTGTCTGAATGGACATTCCAACATGTGCAATGAGCTGACGTACTATGGAGCAGACATCAATGCACTCAATTACAGAGGCCAGGTGAGTGACATGCCATTGCATTCTGTTGTTGCATGTTTATTTAAGTCTTTGCCTCATCAACTGCAGGTTGCACAGTTTACAGTGCCTATATTTTCATGATGTGGTGTTTAAGCGTGTTGTGAATTTTGGCTGCTCCTTTGCTGTTTCTTGTAGACTCCACTGCATATAGCTGCTGCGTCAACACATGGAGAGAGGTGCCTTGAAGTGCTGATTAAGGTGGGGGCTGACATAAATGTCCAAAGTGAGGACGGAAGAACGCCGTTGCACATGACAGCTATACACGGGCGCTTCACTCGCTCCAAAACGCTTATTGATCATGGTGAGCCTGAATGTAACTTGTACCTTGTGTTGATCCCACTTAAGCAAAAGTGTTATAACTTAGATACCAGGATGCTGCTCCATAAATAACAAATATCTAAAAAGTTGAATATGTACGAAGATATCCGTCTTCTGGGTTATTGCGCTGTGTAGTCTGGTCGATGTTAACCAACGTTTCAGAGGTCATACTGCCTCCATCATCAGGGTGATGACGGAGGCAGTATGACCTCTGAAACGTTGGTTAACATCGACCAGACTACACAGCGCAACAACCCAGAAGACAGAAATCTTCATACTCTGATGATGGAGGCAGTATGACCTCTGAAACGTTGGTTAACATCGACCAGACTACACAGCGCAATAACCCAGAAGACGGATATCTTCATACTCACCGCTGTGAGAACCTCAAGTCTTACATTGAATATGTACGTTCTTTATTATAGTTTAAACTTTAACACTGGAGATCAGTAAGGGGTGGCATGGTGGGCAACAGTGTGGCATTGATGAAGAGTGGTTGAGACATTGTCTCCTAAAATTTTAACGTAACATTAGATACAACTGTATAGTCATTACACATGATGATGGTGGTCTGTAGTTATTTATCATACAGAAATTTAGAATTGTTATGGAAAATCAGCAGTTCACGTATGCATTTCTCATTTGCACGGTGTTCTTAAGGAATGCATCTACCAGGTAAATGAATAGATGACTGTACTGTGAACGTATAACTGCGGAAGTTGACAAATGAGGAGTGAACGTGAAATTAATGATTTGTATTGACAGGGGCTGTTGTGGACAGCATGGATAAGAATGGCTGCACTGCACTGCACATAGCTGCCCTCTATGGTCATGAACTGTTGAGTGGAACACTGCTAACATTTCAGGCAGATCCTAGCAAGAGAGGATATGAAGGTACCAACTCTGGACACAAATTAATTAACTGTTTTTCCTTCAGCACAAATAAAACAACACAAAATAATTTTTCCCATTATCCTCTCCATATCTCTTGGCTCCAAACGATGTTCCCACTCTCGCTATATATTGTTCCTGCAGCATAAGAGACCAAGTTTTGCAAAACAACAGGTAAAATTGCAGTATTTCAAGTTTGCCTGAGTACACAACCCTTATGTATTATGAATATCATGCCTTTATGAAGATGACCACCAAGTCAAGTAAGATTACTGTGCCTGTTTTAAACAATTTTTTTCAATATCAAGACCCTGCCTCAATATACATAGTGTAATTTTCTCTAGTGTCCTGTTACACTATTTTCTGGCTTGTAAGACACTAATGTTCTTGGAATATTCTGCCTAAAATCTGATCCAGTTTATATTTGATGGGTGGGTCTATGTGAGGGAAAACTTTTATATCCATGTGGTACAGCAGATGAGTTTTTGCGTTACAAAACTCAAGCTTTCACAGATGAATCTGTTGTTAATTTCATCATGAACTTCATTTTGATTTGTTACTGTTGTACTCTGCATTCGTGATGTTATAGGTCGGACGCCGCTTCACATGTGCTGCCTTGGTGGCTTTGTAGAGTGCTGTCGTAAGTTCTTGCAGGTGAATGTTGATCTCGATATTCAAGACAGTACAGGCAAAACTCCGTTACATTTGGCAGCATTCAGAGGGTGAGTGTACATGTGTATTTGCAAGGGGCTGCTTAGGAACAGCCAGGGGAGGTTGTCAGGTCAACGTGAGTTTGTATCGTGCTGGGGTGTCATTTCAGATTTATTTGTTATTTGCTGTTAATCATTTTGTCCATGATTGAATTCCTGCATGTCATCGAAGTTAACGTGTTTTATGTCTGCAAGTGTTAGTCTAGCTGGAGAGAATGGTGTGTGAGGGCAGTAGCTCCATTCTTATAAACACGTGGAAGCAGAGTAATTATACAGATTTGTTCACCAAACCCTTCTGTTTGTTTCATGATATCTTAGCCATCCCTTGGCTCATGTCTGCGACAGTAAGACTTGAGAGCAGCTAAGTATGAGATGACAGAACGGTCAAGTTGAGTTGCATAGCTCATTCATGGGCATGATCAAGGGATTAGAATGGAATATGAATCTTTGTATTACATTGTAATGGTTAGCACTCGGGTGGAGCCGAATTCAGGGCTTGTCTAGGAGGTGGCCTGTTTTAGTTTTCCCTCAGTTCTGCCAGGCGAATGCATTGATGATTCCTTCCAAATTGCCACTACTGATTATACTTCTATTTTACTTTATATTCCATAATCATGTGCTTGATATGTCAGTAACTTTTATTTCAGTTTTCTGTGAAACTGTAATAGAAACACAAGGTAATGAACTCATCTTTTTCAAAGGTCAGTTGACTGTCTTGATCTGCTGGTAAGCAGTGGTGCCAACTTTCAGCTGCAAGATGCACATAGTCGGATTCCTTTGCACTATGCAGCGGCTCGGGGACAGTATCCGTGTGTGTTCACGTTGGTTGGGATCGGCAGTCAGGTGAACAAGCAGGATGTGGATGGTTGTACACCTCTTCACCATGCAGCCGCTCAGGACGTGGAGGGAAAGTAAGAGTTGCCTGGGCTTCATGGAACAAGTTAAAGTTGTGTCCAGTGTCAGGTCAGCTCTTTCTAAAAAACTTGGAAAAATTATGTGTTTAAAACTGTATGTAACTTGATAGTGTAGTCAGTTTTGGCCACTCAGGGCAGCATTTCTGTTTCTGTTTGTTTTGTAATTTTTTTTTTCCCCCAAACACGAAATTTATTTTTGTTGGGTGCTGGTCAGTATAACCCCTACTTTTCATGAAACTAAAATTGAATTTTATAGAACTCCTCCAGGATGGTTCGTGATACAAACAGTTTGGTACATGACAAAATATGGATCTCATAAGGAAATGCAAATTTTATTTCAAGCTTCTTTCAATATGGTGAATATTTAATACATGAACACATCACTTTTGACCGTGCACTGTGATCAGTTTTGCAATAATAGATTTTTGTTTATAAGAAATGAAATTAAAGGCCAGTAAGGTATGCGTGGTAGCGACAAATTCATTGAGGATTTATTTGTAACATATTTATGTTCTCTGTTTTTATTTGACATACCATTGTCACGCACAAGACAGTGATCAGTAGTTGTCAGTTCTTTGATAAGCCTCACCCCCCTCTCCCACCCTTTTTCTTCTTGCACATCCCTATTCAAGTCAGTTGGCACGATCCTTGCAGGTGTGTGGAATACCTCCTGCAGCACAAAGCAGACCCCAGACTGCGAGACAACAGGGGCTACACTGCGATCCACTATGCTGTGGCCGGTGGCAATCAGACAGGCCTGGAGTTTCTGCTAGCGGCTGTTGGCTCATATTTCAGTCTCAGTGGTGATGACATGCCCAAGATGACTCCTTTGCATTTAGCGGTCAGCCTTGATTTTACCCAGAACTTTGTTATAGAGTGCACCAGATGAAGTGGAAATCAATATTATTTCTCTAACCCCCACTGTTTCAGGCATACCACGGACATAGTGATATTCTGCGACTACTCTTACCTCTATTTTCCAATGCAAATATCAAAGATGACTCCGGCAAGGCACCTCTAGACCATGCCTCTTTCAAAGGTAATATAGATTCTTATTGTTTTGAATAAGGGCTGGTACAGATAATCCTCTGTATATTCCAGTTTGAGTTTACATTTGCATTGTTAGTGTGTTTTGAGTTTAGGTGAGATGTAAGTTTCTCGTGTTATTGAGTTTGAAGCTGGCTGTCTTCCGGGATGTTGTGCTCTGTTGTCTGGTAGGTATTCACTAACATTTCAGAGGTGCATACTGCCTCTGAAACATTGGTCAGGGGAGTACATGGTGTAACATCACAGTAGACAGCCATTTTTATTTTTATTTTTTTTTAAAAAAGTCAGTTTTGGAGTAGGGTGAATTTTTCAGCATCGATCAGAATTTTTGTGACTTAATGAGACTTGAGTTTTTTATGTCAGCAACAACTTTGATTGTGCTTATAATTCTGTGCATTCTTGGACCATGATTGTGGTGATATAATGCTCCAAAATACTGGCTACCATCTGCAAGATTATGCGACGTCACAACCCAGAAGTCCACAGTCCAGATTCATCATTCAAGCTGAGGAAATCACCACTACTATGGTTCATTAAAATCAATTGAGTCATTATAGAAGTTTTTCAGACAAGAAGCAGTATTCTGGTTATGTAGTGGTTAGCCTTTGGGTTGATTGCTTACTGTTGTCACTAATACAGAATATGAAAACATGTTTGTCAGTATAAAGACAACAAACGACCTGAGGACACGCATACAGATGAACTTTGAAGCACTGCAGATATATTTCAGATAGTTGGCTGTCATTAATATTATTTCATTGTATCAGTTTCTCACCAAAGACTGGCTTGAATTTCAGGTCACCGTCAGTGTGTGCAGTTATTGCTGCGCTGTGGGGCTCTGGTAAGTGTCCACGATGGAGTGACACAGCGAACGCCAGTCCATGCAGCTGTAGTGAATGGTCACAAGGAGTGTCTCTTGCTTCTGTTGGAAAACACAGAGGAGAGCCAGGTTGTCAACAGTGTGGACTACAAGAAGCGGTCAGGATCAGAGTGTTCGATATGTTTTATCCTGCCTGCCACATCACCAGTTCCTTCACCACCACCCTGTCAGTGAACTGAATCAGCTGAGAAGTGGATCCTTCTGTGATCTAATGGGATGGGAGGTTAAAGGCTGGTTTTCTGCTTCATGTCTCCAGAAATTGAGCAAAATACAGCCTATAAGAGCATCAGGACCCTCTTTCTAGTGTTCCCTTAGTCCATCTCAGCATATCTTTATTCGTGTAACGATCTGCATCGTACTGATCGGCTTATCACAATGAATTGTGCAGTTTTGAATGAAACGTTGTTTTGTTCTAATGCCTTGGTTTCCGATTTTATTCTCGTTTGTATGTGATTTGCTAAGTTTGTATCTAAAGTTAACCTGTACGTTCCCTTTCATTAATTCACTGGTAGGTTGAACAGAACTTTTGTTTATGCTGCAGGACACCTCTAATGCTGGGCGTGTCAGCAGGTCACAGTGACTGCATAGTGATGTTGCTGAAGTACGGGGCTGACACGAATCTTGTGGACGAGGATCAGCACCCTGCTCTCTTCAGGGCTGTAAGTGGGAGACTGTGTGGTAACGTAACACAAGTCAGACACCTAGAGACCATTGTATTGATAACGCTATGGCATGTTGCAGGTGGTACATGGGCTCCAGGAGAACGTAGAACTGCTTGTGGGCAGGGGGGCAAGCCCCACATTTCAGGACCATGATGGCAAGTCAGCACTGCACCTTGCAGCTGCTTGTGGCCACCTGTCATGCCTGGCCACCATGCTGGGGAACACCAATGAAGATGTGAGCGAGTTGCAGGATAGCCAGGGGTGTACAGTGCTGCATTGGGCCTGCTACAATGGTGAGAAAATAGCCAACAGGATTTTTTTTTCAAATTAGTGTTGAAGTTACGTGTTGCAATGTTAAAATGTGGCCACAAGCAAGGTGAAATGGGTCACTGCTCATTCAGTTGGGTTAAAGTTTGGTTGCAAGATTTTGTGGTGTTTGTGATGAACCTTTACAAGCACTGTAACTGGAATCATTGTGAAGCCTCTGTTCCAGAGAATA